ACAACCCCACCACACAGCACAACTGACCTGTAGGTAGAGCCGTCCTTACATCCCAGCCTCATCCATCTGTTGGCCTCCACCAGCACCACCTTGGCCCTTTTCTCTCCTCACTCCCCCCCCCTCTCCTTCCCTTTCCTCGTTTCTCTTATCCTCCTTCCATTCATCCCTCCCTCCCTTCCCCGATTCTCTTTTTTCCCTCTCCTCCTCCCAAATTCCTCTTCTCCTCCATCCCTCTTCCCCTCTTTCTTGTTATCCTCATTCCTTCTCTTCCTCCCATATTCCTTTCACTCTCTTTTCCTTCTAATCCCTCTAGACCTCTCATCCTACTCTCCCTCCCTATCATCTCTCTCTATCCTAACAGCAACAGCAACAGCAACAGCAATAGCAGCAGCAGCAGCAACAACAACAATTTATCTTTAAAAATTTTCTGATTGGACCGCTATTGCGGTGGTGGGAGTTTAGCAGAAGAAATGGCGGTAGCGGAAAAATCCTCTAAATCGCGGAACATGGAGACCCATGCAACAACAACAACAACATATATAATAGAATAGATACGGAGCCCAACTGACCAGTAGGTGGAGCCGTCCTTACATCCCAGCCTCATCCACCTGTTGGCCTCCACCAGCACCAGCTCGCCCACACTCATGAGAGGCACGCTGAGGAAAGCCCTCCGCTCGGCCACACAGAACCGGAAGTTGGTGACCATGGCCTGGCCCTCCATTGTCTGTGACAGCAGCACCGGGTGCTCGCCCAGCAGGAGAGGGAATGGCGGCATCTGACACAAAAACACAGAAGTTTTAGTCTTCGTAAGAGTTTTACGGCACTTGCAACACAATAATGTCATGTAAATTTTAGTTGTAGTAAGAGTTTTACAGCACTTGCAACACAATAAGGTCATGTAAGTGCCAAAGATTAGAGGTGCTACAAGAGAGTAACAAACATTTTTTTTTTTAAAGAAGGAGAGATAAAGACGATAGTTGTTTGATAAGGAAAGAAGGAGCAAACCACACCAGAGCACCCGCCAACCACCCACACAAAACACAAAGGAAAAACAACAGTTTTGATAAGACTTTTATGGCACTTGCAACAAAGTTAGGTCATAGAAGTGCCGAAGATTAAAGGTGTTACAAGGGGTAACACATTTTTTTTAATGAGGGAGGGTAGATAAGGTCCATAGATGTTTGATAGGAAAGAAAGTGCAAACCACAACACAGCACCCGCCAACCACCCATGAAAAAACAATTGAAGGCTCGCAAACGAGGTCGTGCCCATAGGGAATAGTTGCATCTAGTAGAAAGCAGAAAATAAAAATGTAAGGCAAAAACAAGACGCAGTTGCATTATTGTATAGCATAGGGGCCTACAATACAATTTCAGTCTAGATTCAGTTAAAGTTTTACGGCACTTCCAACACAATTAGGTCACATAAGTGCCAAAGATTAGTGGTGTTACAAGGGAGTAACAAGCAACAAAATATTAAAAAAAAGGAGGGGAGATAAGAACGATAGATGTTCGATAGGGTTGAAAGAAGGAGCAAACACCAAAGCACCTGCCAGCCACCCATCTGTTGCGTCTAGACAAGCCGAGAAAAAAAAAAGACAAGAATAGGTTGCATCTTGTTAAAAACAAAAAATTGGAGACAAGAACATCTAGTAGACAGACACAGAAAAAATTGGAAGACTCGAAAACAAGACTATGATCCTGTTCAATACTTCAAATAATGGGCTGTTGGTATCTATAAAGAGAGCTTACTCTCTCATGTCTAAAAACAGTACTCCCAACACTACGCTTTTTTGATTGATTGATTGGGTAGATGTTTTGCGGCACTATCGACACAATTTTGGTCATTTAAGCGCCATCACCAACATTACGCAGCCATGTGCGAAGTAAGAAAAGAGAAAAAGTGCCCGTGTGTGAGAACAAAATTAAAAGCAGGCTAAAGTCCACTGATAGCTTGATTTTTGTTTTTTTAAATAAGGGGCTAAAGGTTTTTGCTGTTTTTCTCCACTCAACAAAAATGGACTTCAGAACTTTGACCCACCTGGGCTCCTGGGCTGGACTTCTGACATGGCGGCACAGTCGTCACATCAATGATATGCTCCCTGTCCAAAGCCTGTGAAAGAAAATTAATCGGTAATTGTATGGCATTAAAACCTCATTCAACACTTGTCAGGTTTCTTTGAGAGGCGGGCCTCGAAGTTCAACATTCATCTCCAACAGGGTAAAGCCAAGTGTGTCGAGTCTTTAAAACTCATTGAAGATTCGAACAGGAGTCACATGCATCGTAGCCTTATGTGAACCCAACACAGGTAACAGCATAACCTTTAACACCGGAATACAAGAGCCTAAGACAGAAGACTTGTTTAAACTTAAACCAATTTATATTATAGTTGCCGACTTTAAACGGAAATTTTACTCAAGATACAATATAGCTTTTTAGTTTTAATTTAATAAGTTTTGCAGCACTGCAAAAACAAACAGGTCATAAAAGTGCCAATGATTAGATTAATATATAAATGTAAAGTAATACCAAAGAAAAGAAACAGATAAGGACAACAGATGTTTGATGGGTAAGAAAGGGCAAACCACACTAGACCAACCAGCCAACCACCCAAATATATATTGTTCATTAATGTATGAAAAAAAAAGCCACAACATGAAAACAGCTATCAACACCAAAGTAAAATCAAAATAAAGACAAAATCAAAAAAGGGAACGAAATAAAAGAAATGAAATTAGACCTACCAGTGACACCCTCCAACAGCTCACGAGGAAAAAAAAAGGATTTGAAAAATACAGCAAAAAATGTTATATTACCCCACTTAATTTTTTGTAAATTACTCAACTTTAAAAAACGGGACACTCGAAATATCTTCTTTTAAAAAGAATTTGCATTTTGAGTAAAAGGAAGCACATCCACATGACAAGGCCATCTGGCGTCAGTTAGACACACATAAAAAAACAGGAAAAGTAGGACCTACCAGAGACAACCTCCTACAACCTAAACCGTTTAATAAAATAAAATAATCCTCAATTGAGGTTAACGGCGAGTCGGCACGATAGGGACGCTTCAGTAAGCCGGGAGAAGTAAAACAGTTTGACCACAGCACAGCGGCCATCGATCCACTAGCATGTCAATCGATATCCTCACTTCCAGATAACCCAAATAGAAAGAGAGGGGGGAGGGGATGGGGGGAAAGAGTGAGGGGTGA